GTCACAGATTGGTATATGAGGTCACAGATTGGTATATGCGGTCACAGAATGATATATTAAGTTACAAAATGAAATAAGAGGTCACAGATTGGTATATTAAGTCACATATATGTATATCAGGCCACATATTGGTATACCAGGAGTTCTAGAAACCCCATTCCTCACTGGAAACATTTGCCGTTCATATACAGATGTCACAGGCTTCATATACAAGTTCTTTAACATTTATTTAGGTCACATTTTCGTTACTTAACCCATTTTCATTGCCTTACAGTAAACATTTGAAGTTGGTCACACGGTCAGCTTTTTACAGGTCACTGTTAATGGTTTGTTCATTGACAGGTCATATCTCATATTGGTTATGCGTAAGCAGGTCACAGTTGAAAATGAAGGTCACATATATTTGACCTGCATATCCAGAAATCACAGACAACAAATACAAGTTCTGTAACAGTTCTGTATGTCACAATTTCCTCACTTTAATCCATATTCCTTGCATTACAGAAAACATTTCATTTTAGTAACACAGTCATCGCTTACACATCAATTGATAGCTGGAAACATATTAATGGAATGTAAAAGAATATCTGGAATTGTTATGCATACGGTCTAAGTTTGACTTAATGGAACCAAGCTTCTGCATCTTCTACGATTGTGACCATATCCTCTACAACGTCTACATTTCACAGTCGATTTCCCTTCACTGGATGACCTTCTCATCTTTCCAGCGGGTCTACCAGAACTCCTTTTTTGATAAGGAGCTAATACAATTGCTGGTTGCAAGTCTACAGGCGTGGTCCATTCATCTAGATCTCCAACTGGAATCACGAAGTTCTGGTATGCATTCATGTATGCATCTTATTTGTAATAATAAGAAGAATAGTCATAAGGATCCCTTTTGGTATGTGCAATCAAAGCCAGTGCATGTAGACATGGAAACAGATCAACTTGAAATATCCTGCAAGTGCATGTACGTTGATTTATATCTATGTCAAATGACGAGTGTTCGTCTTTGATTGAAAATATGGTCTGATTCACATGTAACGCCTACAGGGAAATGTTAAAAATCAAATATATGTTAAGTCAAATTAATATATTTAAGTCACATAAAATTATTACGAGTCACATAAATATATATCAGGTCAAACTTATTCAGATGAAAACGAAAAAGATACCCTCATTTTCCTTAAATCTGTGCTCATATTCCTCATAAGTTTCTCGTAACTGTTTGTCAACCTTGTGAACGTGCCACGTGCATCCTTGTTATGTTTACAAAACAAGGTCTGTAAAGTTTGTCTCATAGATTCTAATAACAACACGATAGGGTAATTATTTGCTGCTTTCGTGACTGCGTTGACTGATTCTACTTTTTTTGAGGTCATTGTAGAATAGCGATTTGCTGGCGTGTGGAATCGTGACCACTTTTCAAGTCCAATGAGGTCATTGTAGAATACCGATTTGCTGGCATGTGAAATCGTGACCATTTTTCAAGTCCAACATCCTTCTAAGAACACAAACCATTTACATGAATATCATATAAACTACATCTGTGACCATTTTCTAAATGTATGAAAATTGTAAAGTAGTGCATTACCAGGCATGGCCTAATCTTTACGTTCATAGTGTCGAGCTCGTGCATGTTGTATTCGAACTCTGCTAATGTATATGATCGGACGACCGAATTGAGAGCCTGCATTATGTTGTAACCTGATTTACCGTAGTATGATTTCAAATTCTGCAACAAATGATGGAACAAATCCCATGACAGGATCTTGGATAAACATAATCTATAGCATTCTTAATACTAATATGGCGATCCGATACGATACACAATCCATTTCTGTAACCATAAGCCTTCTTCAAGTTCTCGAAAAACCATATCCAAGATCTATCGTTCTCACTATCTCCAGCCCCAAATGCGAGAATAAACATTATGTTATTTGCATCTTGTGTACATGCTATGAAGAGAGTGCCCCCATAGTATCCATTCAAGTAGGTGCCATCAACCACAATTACAGGTCTGCAATGCTTTCATCCTTGAATTGATGCACCAAGGGCCATGAAACAATATTTAAACCTACTGTCACTATCGAGCTCCAATCCTGTGACTGTTCCAGGGTTCCTTTGTTCAAGCATGTAAAAGTAGTTAGGTATTTTACAAAATGACTCAGTTAGATCACCCCTGATGATTTTTAGAGTTTGCTCACGAGATCTCCAAGCCTTGGAATAGTTCATTGAAACACCATATGTATGAAACATATCACTCACTACATATATCCTTCAGAGTGTTTATAGTATGTGCCGATGTGTACTTGATACTTGATACTTGATGAAATAACGGAACTAGATAATTGCCTGTGACTTCCCAAAGTTATGTTTGAACCAAATATGTGACCATTTGTAATCTTCCTAATCTTATATAGTCCTAATTTACCCCATTTCGAAGACCTGGACATCCAGGTACACCCACCCTGTAAACACTTGATAATGTACTCCTTCTTGTCCGAACGAACAACCACAAGTTCAAACATATTTCGTATCGCAAACAAAGAAAGACTCAATTTGAGAACATTCTTATCACGGAATACTCGTCCTTCCTCTACTTCTATCGGATCAGTAATAGTTACAATTGTGACTTCCTTTTCGATTATGTGACATGTTGGTTCGATAGCTGCATCACATATATCTGAAACCAATTGCTGTAATGAAAACTCTCTGGTAGCTTGTACATCATTTGGAATTGCAATAGATTGTTGATCAATATCTGTGACTTCAATGCTTAACGGGTATTTAGAAGGGTCATGATCCATACCTTTTAGAGTAACGTACGATAGTACATTACTATCGCATCTTATTCTAACCGGTCAAATCATGATTCAGTACATATTGTGTTGTGACTTGAATTTTCGTATGATCCCAATTGAACTCTGTTATTACGGTGTCCACAAGCTTACTATAAGTGCAATTACTATCCAACAAAACCACCGATAACTGGGATCCATACAGCAAACAGGCGTGTACATACATCATATCTGCAATGTTGATCACATATTGTCAATAGTAATACCGAATTGGCTCTGGTCACATGTCTTTTGAGTCACATTACGAGCGCATGCATGACTGAGAATTACCTATGACATTCCACATGGGATATACAAAAAATCACCATCGCAGATGTGCACTTGATTATGCTTATGAGGTTTTCAATTTAATTTGCACATTTATGCAGACATAATACAACTGTAACAGTTACTTACCAATTGGAATGTGTATTATCGGCACCAACAATGGAAATTGTGTCCTGAACTCCAATCCAATCCAACAATACGAATAGCATTATATTGTGACCGGAGATTACCATCTCCGAACTGTGATAATTGGCCAGAATTTGAATCAGTGGCCGAATATTAACACCTTGGAACTGTGACCTGAAAGCCTGATTGTACTGCCGTCAATATCAAATGAGAGGGATTCCATTGTAACGAAGTCGAAATTGTATTTTAGGTAGGTGATTTGGTATTTTAGGGAGTCTTAATTGCAAGCGCAATTAATAGAAGATAATGTAACAAAAAAATCTCGTATCAGTAGGACGGTGGAGATTGATTTGTTAATATAATAGAATTCATATTTAACTAATTACTAAATACCTGAGTTTTGCAACCACGAAACCTGATTTTTGATTTCGTCATAGTTAATGCCAGATAAATTTTTCCCGTGGTATTAGTATTAGAGGACAATGCCAAGTCTTGTAGACATTATGTTATACAACAAAATAGCACATAAATTCAATAAAAAGCTCTCCGTTACATATTCAACATAGAACAAAAGCTTGATGATAAATTCATTTAACAGAAGGGATTCTCAATTTACTGAAGCTACCAAATTAACCAAGGTCTGGTAATCATACCCCCCCCCCCCCCCCCCCGGGGAAACAATTCAATTTTGGGTGTGCACATTTGGATCCAAACTCATAGAAAAGGTGAAAAATGAGACCGAATGTAGGGAGACAACATAGTATATTCGACGATACATCATCAGGCATCTGAAACCAATTCTTCACTCACAATCTTAGCGAGTCCATGTCACAGTTTGGAGATGGAAATGGCTGTAAGCCCTTGGACATCTGCAGAAATGTATAAAATAACACTTGAGAACCCAAAGGAAAGGTTAATTTTCGAAAAAAAGTTAGATTTATTCAATTGGGTACTCGTGTAATTTTCCTGAATGTGGCGAGGCGTTTTGAGGTGTAAGCCTCAGCACATACCAATAAAAATTCTAAATAATATAAAAAACATGCTCGTAATAAACCCATATAGCCCTTGTTTGACATCCTTTTTTCCTCAGTCTCTCTCATTTTTTTCTCTTTCTTCATTTCAACCACACATTCTATCAATAAAATAATATTACACATAAACCCAAAAATTCTCCTTACTTTTTAACCACACATTCTTCCATCAATCACTATTCCAAATTCTCATTCTCTCTCTCATTTTTTTCTCTTTCTTCATTTCAACCACACATTCTATCAATAAAATAATATTACACATAAACCCAAAAATTCTCCTTACTTTTTAACCACACATTCTTCCATCAATCACTATTCCAAATCAAATTCTTCCATAAAATGGGTGTCAAACAAGGGCATAATATAAAAAATTCCCAAAATTAAAGTATAACTTGCAAAACAAAAAAAAAAAAAAAGTAGCAGCAAATACTCGCATACTTTCTGTATCGCTGTAGTCATCCTTCCCTTCTTGTCCAAGGTTAGTTCTTCTTCCTCCTACCTTTGAAATTTCTTTTCCTCGCTTTGCCGTCTTGGTCTGGATCAAAACGAAGCGCGTTAATTAGCTAAGATTACCAATAAAATTGACTAACAATGTGAAGATAATGAGAAAAATGGCGAAGTAGCCCATTTTCTATGCTATAGTTAGCAATAGATAGAAAGCCTAAATAGACAACAAGAACGAGTGCACACCTGAGCAGACCTGAATTTAAGATTCAGTTGTAAATCTCACTGAACATGCACCTTAGTAAAATTGATGCAACAAATGGCACTCAAGGTTTAATGAAAGCATCATGTGAGACAGGACTCAAGACAAAAAGCTCAGACAGCTTGTCGATACTATGCCACAATCAGATACAGTCTGTTTCAAAGGGAGCAATTCATTGTCGGAATTGAAGAATGACTGGAACAAAAATTTACAAAACCAGTGGCTGTCCAGTTTATGTAAAAATAAACCGAAAAATACATGAAGACTTTCCCGTTGAATGGACAGTCAATTTTTAGTCAACTAGATCTGCATCTCTAGATTTTTTTTGTTAATTAGTTGTTTCCAAAGAAATAGAATAACAATAAAAAAGCATATTATTTTCCTACTTTTGTCATTCTCTCCAAAAATATTCAGCAATCTATTGTAGTTGACTCCTTCATAATTCCAACAAACAAATACGAATTTGCAACCATCTTAAGAGAATAAGAGGTCAAGTTACAACCTCTGGCATCATAGATAGTGAGACTGACAGCTTACAGGCCATGGAATCATCTTTAACAAGTACATATTCTGGCACCTACCCACTAGCTGTGTCCAGCACCAATATGAACGAGTTTTCCATACCGATATGGCAACAGCCACTTCTTACATTAACATCAGTAAGCTCAATCTCATGGATGCTATGATTAGACGGCAGTAGGCAAAAGAGAATAATTATGTCAAATAATATGGTCGTGGTTGTCAGTAGTTACTCATTGAACTACTGTTTGACAGCAAATTGTACCATTCGTAAGAGATGATTAGTGATTAATGCATAAATAAATAAAAATCCAGATTAAAACATAGAATAAAGATCTAGAGTTCCTAAAAATAACTATAGACTATAGTATAGCAGAAGTAGTTGCCCTTAGTTTGAACTTTAAAGAAGGAAGATTCAAATCCATACTAGTGTCACTTGCATCTGAAGAAATGCCCTCACAAGATTTTACAGCTCGGCACATGGCATGAAGAGACATCTTCTTCACCTGTACAAACAGCAGCAAATTTAAAATCTATGGACTGCATGCTGCATAAGAAAACAAGTACATGACTATTTGTGTTTTGGAAAGATCAAACTGAAGATTATGTTAGCAACTGGCACAAATAACCCAGACATTACACTAAACAAGCACTGTTGCTTCTCACCAAAAATTAAGAGGAATAGAACATGGATAAAAACATAAATCTAGACACTTAATATCTGGCATGAAACCAAGAATTAAAGGCAATTGTTCGAATCAGCAACAACCATAAACTATACCCTTGTTTGAGCCCCATTCTTTTAAAACTCATTCTTCCCCGAAGTAATCGACTACACATTCTCCCAATAAAATAATTTTGCAGTAAACTCGTAACTTTTCCATACTTCTTAACTGCAAATATCATTTTTTACGAAATCTATTCTCAAAAAATGGGGCTCAAAAGGTGCTATATATAATTGAAAATACTGAATATTAATGACTCACACAATGTGTTGTGTATGGAAATTATACCTCCAACTTGTCTTCTTTAGCCCTGTGATTTTGAGGAAGAATGCGGAATTCTTCTGTCATACGAATGCACTCTTGAACATTTTCAGGTGAGACGAAGTCAACTGCAACCTTTATGCATGACTGGAAAAGGGAAAACCTTTGAGATAGTGCTATATATCCTAAAAGGAAAAAGAAATGAAGTACTCCACAACTTTTGGAAACAAGAAATGAAATAGCATCACAGTGCAGTGCAGTGAAGGAAAAATTGAATTCTATAGATAGGGACCAATTAACACAAGAATGCAGATGCAGACAATCAATCAGATTTACCACAAAATTGAACTAGATATATGGCCTCTGTTAATTTTATTTTGCAAAACCATTTAGCATTTTGGTTGCCTCTGAAATTCATCAGTCACAATTTAATTAAAAGACCAAATAAAAAATGTTCCCTGGAGCTTTTTCTGCAAACTTCAAAAAACTCCCAGATCAGTTCTTATCCAACTTCAGTCTGTGTAGAGACAACAAAAATTAATTGAAAACAGTCATGCTCAACCCTATTCAACTCAGTCAAATCATAAACTAGATCAAATTTTGAAAAAGAAGAAATACTGATTGGTTTTCATGATTCTTGTTATTATAGATCCAAAAAATATAAACACAAGTTTGATAACATCTCCCAACTGAACTATACTTCAAATTTACACCAAAATTGAGGCACACAATACCTTTAGTTCATGGCCTGTAGTCACATTAGACAATTTGTTGGGGGGGGGGGGGGGGGNGGGGGGGGGGGGGGGGGGGGGGGAGTACAAGTTGGCCAAACCAGATCTAAATAAAACAACATGAAAGCTTGGTTGTATACAACCTAGTAATGATATTTCAACCAAAAAAATAAGTCAAGTATCATTAGAACTTTAGATCGGAGGCTTAAGCTAGTTCAGCTTTTCAATAGATTGTTTAAACAACCTGACTTAAGCCAATATAATTACACTAGCTTCTCATGGAACTAGTCAAATAAAATTAATCAAGTGGTCCAAAATAGTTCCTAGTAAAAGTTTCGGAAAGGATGAAAACCACACAGAATTAAGTCTTCTATATATGATTAATTGATATCATAGAAAAATAAAAAAGAGCTTCATTTTGATTATTTTATATAAAAAAATTGTGAAGTATCAAGCAACCATCAAATCTACAAATTCCATTTATTATACTAATTTTAACAAAACATAATATCTACATTGAGATTTTTACACATTATAACAAAAATTAGTGTATATCTAGTTTAAAGATCTTTATAGTCAATATCTTTGATGTACCGACACAGACACGCCGACATACAATTTTTCAAATAAAAAAAAACTGACACGATATATCGCCACCACGTTAATTAAATTCTTTAAAATCTTGTATTTATATAATATAAATTTAGTTTATACTTGTTAATTTTTCTTGCTGAAATCTTTTAAATACGAATACCTATTTGTTATTTAGTAATAACTTTGAGTGTATATATAATATTTTTAATAAAGAAATAGAGTGCCCGAGTGTTGTATCCAACATGTCGGATATGAGTGCGCCATCATAGTTGTTCCATTTTTTAGGCTTGGGAATGTGTGTAGATTGCTTAGACCTTTAATGTTGTTGGGACCGATGAGCCAAGTATTATCTATGCATATCCCCAACAAAAGAAAGAAATCGGAAAGATTGATTCTGTTAAAAAAATGGCATTGTTGATGGGTTTTCCTCTCGGAATTAAGCATTCAGCTTTTGAATTGAAGAGGCTCCATGATTAGTAAAGTTGAAGGGCATTTGTTTCCTTGAAATTAAGTGTGTGGCATGGATTCTCCTCATGGCATCTCCAACCATGGCGCAAAAATCCATTCCAACCATACACTAAAACTCTACACCAATTTGGTGCAATGAATAGCGTTTGTTTCCTTGAAAAATTTTTAAGTCTCTAAATTTATAGGTGCTCTCCAAATGATAGAATGTGCTCTTTAAAAATAGAGTCTATTGAATATGCTCTTATTATTTAATAATTTAACTTCATTTATATTTACTTTTAATTAAAATTTATATAGTATAATAAATAAGGACCACCCTACATGAACATGGCCTATGTGGCCTTGTTCAAGCAGCATTATCAAATAAATAATAACTATGGGATACAATATTTTCAATTGCAATATTTTAGTTAATTAAATATAATTTTTAATTTAATTATTTTAGTAGTAATATAATGTGTAATTAAATAATTTTCGAAATAAATTGATTGTTGAGAAATAAAAAATAAGAAAATAAAGGAATTGTTGTTCATTTGATGTAATGGTTGGAGATGACTTTGCAAAAAGGTGTGAAAGTTGCACCAATTTGGTGCTAATGATTAGAGATGGGTTGAACCAATTTGGTGCTAATGATTAGAGATGGCCTCAGGTGTCCTAAGCTCCACTCTCAACAACCTTCCCTGCAAACCCGTGCCTTCATCAATATAATAAAAGAATATAAAAAGAATTTTGTGATATTATTCGTAGGTGATCTTTTATTTATGTTGAATGACAGTCGCTTAGACAATGTAGTAGCATTTTGCCACCGTAGTTGTACCAACATGAAATTCACAAATGGGACTCTCGAGTCTCGCCCAGTATCAATTTCTTCTGTATTGAAAGTTTTGCTTTTTATTTAGGTGTGTTGGCCTATTACTTTTAAAGGATAAAAAATGGTATGGCGTGAATATCAAACGCCAGGAGTCCACTTTGTTAACAAATGGAAGAAAACTTCTTCAATTTTCGTTGCCTTCTAATGAACTCCTATCGTTACTTGAACACATTGAATATTTGTTTTTACAAGTGGACTAATCACCTGTTGTTTCCATGCTAAATCAATTAATACACACAAGAAAGCATTGACTTCAAATAAGCTATTAAAACATCATGATTTCACTATTCAAGTAGCAGTCGTTTCTTGTCTTAGTGCAATATTTCACATTATGGCACCTTATTCCCCTTTTTGTGATGAAATAATGCAACAGATCTTTCCCATGATTATATCATCGCTTTTATTTCTCATGGGCACATCCATCAATTCGTATGCTAAGGTAGTCAGGATACTAGATACTATGGCTTATGCAAAGTACTTCCTCATCATGTTAGGCCTAAATTGTGAATAGATGACATGTTCCAACACTTTCTTGTAGCTCTAAAAGGAACTCATTTAGGTAATATCTTCACATCGATAGAGACTATTATGACCCTTACATTAGAAGAAAATGATAATCCCTCTACACTTGATTACTCTTCTTTTGGATTGTGTTCAAAATAAACACAAGGAGGTTTCACATATTGCCTTTAGTGTGATGGTAAGGCTTTTTGAAAAGTGTGCTGACACGATCAAACCCTACATGTCATGAGTTATAAAATCTCTAGGGATTTGTTTAGGGGATCATAGTACAGTTCTTTCCTCCATTCTCACAAAAGATGAAAGCCTACAACAGTGTACTGTGTCGCCTATTGTGACCACGTCTATAATCGATACACTTGATATTAACTTAATTGAGAAATTACCTATAGCAAAGCCATCGGAGTCAAAACATTTCATATAGCCTAGATTTTGTGCCTACTATCTTGCATGACTTTCACGTTGACTTTATGTTACCTCCATTACATGATACTCCACCGGTTGCCACATTGTTCTCCAATGCTATTACTCGATTGCACATTTTTCCTATTGACATTAGGATGTTGCCTACTAAGTATCAACATGCTATGTTAGCTCATCATCTTGTTCACCATGTTCCTAAATTTCATGCCCAAGTTTAAAATACAATTCATCTTCAATCATGAAATTTTAGAACTTCCTTTTGACGTGCAATATAAATTAGGGTACTCTACTGATAATTACTATAGTTTATTGCATGTCCCTTTGATCCAAGTTCCTAAAAATGTGAAGAAAGCTTTTGAATCACGTGTAAAAAGGTTTTCTATTTGACTAGCCATCTCACTTAAATATAAGTTATATTTTTAATGTAAAAGTATTGTTCCCTAATCAAAGCCTATTCGAGCATTCGATGTAGCAATTTTTTGTCCCTACATGCCAGTCTTCGATGCTAGCTTCTTGTCCTCTTCATTATGAACAACCACGTGAAGATTTTGGAAATGAGTTGCTTGAGTTTTTATTATTTGGAGTTCTATATCGGTATGTGATTAAAAAGAGAGATCGTCCTCCTTAGTTGGATCATATTCTTGGGGATATCACTTGTGGTGTTTCGATATTTGGTTATCAAGAAGGATCGTCCCCCGTGGCATGGTTGGGAGCCTTTTGGTATGCAGATATGATATGGGACCTTTCTGATATCAAATTGATTGTCGCCTTTTGTGACTTAGCCACTCGATAGAGTCGGGTTTTTCTCCCACCCCAAGAGAATTGATGCGGCCATCAGCCTTGTATTTATTGGACCATTTACTTCTGTTTTATTTAGTTGGGCTTGTATTATGTGTTGGTCCAAGACCTTAACTATTAGGTTTTATGTTTTGTCCACTTATATGCTTGGTATTGTAATTTGGCAGATAGGCGATGAATGAAATGAAACGAATTGAAGTTTGGCTTGCAACCAAAGTTTTCCTCACCTGCTTCTCCTTCCCCAGTATTCTCTCCGATCTTCTTCCCCCCTTCTCCGATCCTCTCCCACCCTTCATCTCTTGCTTTCCCCTGATTTTGCTCTTGCTGTGGATCTAATTATCTGCCGAAAACTATAATCTATTAATCCTACATCAAGATTTTTATCGGGAAAAAATATACAAATTCTTGAATGTGCTACTTCGATTACCAAGAAATACTCGAGTCTTTTATCTAAAAACCTCTAGCTCACGTTTCTCTTTAACTCTTCCATTTCTTCGATATCATCACTCGTCAAAGTTATATCAACATAAAGAATAAATATAGTCATGGTTTAAAATCGAGGCTCAAGGCGGTAAATAATAGTACTAGTTGCATCTGCTAAAGGCTATGTTTCAAATTGCCTTTAATTGTAACTTTAATTTTTAGGTTAGGCCCACTAAAATGAAAATGGAATACTTTTTTGTTCAATCTACTTTTGCAAAGCCTATATATAAGAGACTAGCTATTAAAACTACAATAAAACCAGCCCTAACTAGAAATTAAAATTAATGCAGTGAGAAACCAATTCCAATACATTGAAAAAGCTAAAAAGCTCAAGAATATTATCTAGAAAAATTGAAGACAGTGAATATAAATTGTGTTTAGCACCAAGTCTAGCCCTCTTCTTATATAGGTATTGGAAGAGTAGGTGATATTCTAATTCTAGTAGACTATGTAGAAGTAACTAATCTCCTACCAATTTCTAGTAGAAGTAGAAATCATGCGCCTGTCTTGGGCGCAATTGTTGTAGAAAAAAATCGACTTTTCAGTCACCTCAATGGTCCCACACCTGTTTGAGATGCAGCCAAAATTCTGCCAAGTTTTGAAAGCACAGTGCTTTAAAATAAACCAGAAGTCCATTCTGCCTTTCATTTTTTATAATTTGGCAACAATATTTGACCGGCCCCACAAAGTGAATTGATTTTGAGAGCAAATTTGGAATATGAGCAAACGGTGAATTATGGGTACAGCATATAGTCAGAAAAGTAGTCAGACATTTGTGGAATAAAATAGTTACATATTAGTCCCAGCGGTCATTTTTTTATTTTAATTTCCATTTAATCAGCCCCAGACGGGCCATATCAACTAAATAATAAAACTAATTGAATCTTATAAAATACTAGGAATCCTAAATACCATAATAATTAAATTCTAAAACTAGTAGTAACAATTGAGTTCTATTATAATTTTCCAACATCAATCTCCCTCACTTGAAAAAACTTATCCTTGAGTTTAGTTGAAAAAGAGAAACTAATAAATTTAGAAGAAAATACTCCAGAGCTTCTGTCATCACATTACGAGAATTGACTCTAGAAAATCTCTAGTCACCTATTCTCGTGCTCTGGACAACATTCGTAGCAGTCAAAAGCTACAAATTATAGTCAGTAGCATCTTCGAACTTATCCATCCTTCGTACTAGATTTTAAACCAAGGTTGGTAATTTTGCAATCCTCCAAATATTTTTGCGAGGATGCATGCTATTACCACCATAATTGCCCACCAACCAAGGGCAAAATCTTGCTCTCATGCAAATTTTAGTTCCTCGGCGGAAGTTAAATATTGTAAAAATTAGAAAAAGCTAAAAAGCTCAAGAATATCATCCAGAATAACTTGAATATAAATAATATGAATTGTATTTACAAACAAGTCGAGCCCTCTTCCTACATAGGTATTGGAAGAAGAGGTAATATCTTAATTCTATTAGACTAAATAGTAGAAATTAATCACCTAAAAATAAAGAAAACAAATAACCTATTTCTAATAGAAAAACAGAAATCCAATCAACTAAAATTTACAACACTCTGCATTCCAGAACTTCTTGAAATAGAATAGGAGAAATTGGCAGCATTGCCACTTAATAAAATTAAACCCAACGATTATTTACAAGAGCCTCCTGAATCATCTTTTATGGTAATTATGAGATTATGCTATAACTGCATTATAATATTTTCAAACCTCAATGTATAAAGTAAATTTATTTTTATTTTTATTTTGTGATAGTGCTGCTAGGAAAAGAATAAGATAGGAAACCACGGTAAAATCATAAACTAGATTGTAAAAATTAAAGTCATATAAACAATATTACCTTCAAGTTTCTAACTTGATGAGGGCAACCAGCAGGTATAAACACTGCATCACCTAATTTCTGAACAAAAGTCCATGGTTCGATCCCTAAGCAAGAAAAGTCAAAAAACCGAAACAAACAAAAAATACAGCACAGTGCCAGTTGCAGGCATTAGCTAAATTTGGTAGTAGAAAACTAACCATATTCCTCCTTTAGTCTTCTTTTATGCTCCACGGTCAAATAAACAGTTTGATCGTGAATCGGGTGGACCACCTGAAGCGAACAAGAAGAACGATACAGATGTATAAAACAGCAGATAACAAAGAGGAGAAGAGGCATCAGATTACCTGATATATTACCTAGAAAAACAGAATGATATGGGGCAGACAAATAAATAAAACATATTTAGAATTCAAGACACCACAAAAAGCTTCATAATATTGGGCAAAAACCTAAGAAATGAAACTCGAATATCTAACAAGGCTGTCCAGAACCTTGTACCGAAAATTCAATAAAAGAGTACATAGCAAAAAATAAATTTTCCATATATTGTAAGAAAGTGGGTTCATTCTACATTCTTGCTTTTCTGATCACTTCAACAAAAATAGCAGGCAATGATAACAAAAAAATAAAATAAAATAAGGAGATGCCATACAAAAACTGTTTAGAGAGAGTTTCACAGTAACAGAATAGACACCACAGAAAAAACAGCATATGGATAAACAATTCCTAAACCTCTTAAATTTCACCAAATTACCTGTGGCAACTGATTACAATAAATGTGCCTAAATTCCTTGAAGTGACTGCTCACATATTCTTTCAGTTTTGGAACATCTTCCCTCCTAAAAATGTCCCATAAAGCACCACCTTCAGGGTCTTCAAAGACTTCTGAACCAACTGAAACTGAAGCACCATCATTTTCTTCCCTATGTTCACCCTCTTTCTTTGATTTGCTTGTTCCGGAAGTTTCTGTTACATTCTGATTTATGTTGCTCGATATCTCAGTTTCATCATTGCTCTCCACTTCCAAGGGTAGAGCAGATTTTTCACATGCTCGATCAGTGGAGTTGATCTCAGCCACAAAATTTTGATTAAGTGAGCTATCAATTTCACTTTTCCCTCTGCCAGAACACTGCCAACCTTCATTGTCAGCATCATTTTTATCAACCATTTGAGTTCCCAAAATAGTTTTTGCAGTCAGTGCTTTATCCAGCATGTTCTCTGTTGACATATCAGATGATTTTGGCTCTTGGGCTTCAATCTCCAAACAGGGGTCGTCCAACGTGTCTGGAGAAGCTTGCTCATTCGATCTCGATAAATCATCATCTAATTGTTCTTTTTTCACGTCCATCTCCTTATTTTGGTATAATTCCCTCTCGTCTTGGGCATTGTGCTTATCCTTCAACTCCTTTATTTTTGAAAGCTGCATAGGCGAGAGTTTTACTCCTCCTTCATGTGTCAGCACATTAACCTAACACAGATATAAATGAAAAATATTACACTCAAGGGTTGATGCATGAGTAGTGTACAGTAACAGAAACCGACAACCTAGCTTATAAAGTTACCCCGTGCAGTTCTACCATCTGAACAAGTTTTGGAGGTGATAAGAAAAAAACTACAAACACAAAGGGCAAAGCATACCGCATCAGACATATCGCAGTGGAGCTTTGTGACAGAATCTCCACGTCCCAGTTCGTGAGCAACTCCATAAGCTATATATGTCTTAGGCCCCATGTCTGGCTTCAAAGACTTCTTCGGCAGTTTAACAGCAAGATTTAAGTATCCACTGTGAGGATGAGTATATTCCTTGAATGGTAAGCAACTGATAAACTCAGCCCCATGGCGAGGTAATCGCTCCTCAAATAAATTAGATGGAGGCCAGTCCTTCAACTTCAGAATCTGAGGCCATTCATGATTGTCAAACCGACCCTCTGAATACCCCTTGAAGAACTGGTGGACATTAATGTCTACCTGCTTTCCAACTAAGAAATAACAATTAATAAAGCATTCGAAATAGAAACTGCATATGAACCATTCAAGAACTGAAAAAATTGGAAACAGGTTGACGAGGAAAAAAAAAAGTATAAAGACTATAGAAAAGCAATATAAAGCAATTATGGCCAAAGAAACAGTAACGCTCAAATCAACAAAACCACTGGGCACCTTTATGGCCATTGTTATTACTTATTAGTGACCTTGTGCGAAAAATTGAATAGTCAAAACTGAAATGTATACACTGTTCTCAGATGATTCACTCAGGAACTGGGGGAAAACAAATAAACTGACCTCACACCAGTCCAAGCAATTTATAGCAGTCACATCAAGTAGCAGTTCATGATTAACATTTCTGATCTGACGCAAGGCACGCCACATAACCATAGGTTCCCAGCTCAAGCCCAATGTAGTTTCAAGCACATTACTGACAATCACTGGCTCACCTTTTGACCAGTGCCACTGGAAATGCTTCAAATCTGCATGCTGAAGATCTTTAGCTTTTGGACAGTATAAATAATTGTCCTCAGAGTTTTCTCGAGAGGCTGCTTTGCGTAAATTATTACAGTCAGAAACATTTTCACCATCGAGTTTCAAACAGGAGCAGCATTGCTCAAAATTTTGTGGCCCATCCTCAAGTTCATAGTTTTTGACAATATCTTTGGCTTTCACTAACAACTCTGAAACAAAACTATCTGAAAATACAGACTTCAATTCTAGAATTCCTTCACCACAACCTCCCATATCCTTTGGTGGACATGGAATGCTGCCATTTTCCATAGATTTCCATTCAGATTTTAGTTTAGAATGATCTCTACAGCTGGGTAGAGTCACTTCACCACAATTCTTATCCTTCATTGAAGTAGCAGCATGACTGTTGCTGCCATGCAGGTAATCTAGCCCATTGTCAACATATTGCATGACAACTTCCTCATCACCTGCCCGTAGTTTTCCATCCCTAATTTCCCGGCAACAAGTAATGCAAAGATCATAAAAACAAAGCGGACAGCTTCTGTGAAAATCAGCAATAGAAGTTTTGCAATTGTCACTGCATAATTGCATGAAAACTACCACATTAGAAAAACCAAGGAAAGAATTGTGTTAAACCACCATAAGTATTCCTAAAGTCCTACCAATAAATTCGCTCATCCTTCTCACATTTTGCTTCTAGTGCTGTTATATCTGAAACCGGTAGTCCTGCACTAACAAGCTGTAATCATCAAAGAACTCAAACAGTGGTAGCTGGATATATAATACCCCAAAATATTTTATAGTCGTTAATTATGAAAAGTAGGACCTTAGTGCAAGATGATGAAAGTTAGGGAATAAAATTGCATATCGGTCAATAGTTGAGGGACTACAAGTACAATTTCCTGAACTATATATGGTATGAATATTTATGTATATTATGTGTGCGCGCGATATGAATATGGTGTGTGTGTGTGTGTATATTTGATGAAATTAAGTAAACTTCCTTCTTATATATGAAAAATAAGCTAGGAAGATTCGTTCATGAATAAGTAAACTACCATGTATGTGTAAATATATAATTACATATAATTACGATTGATTAAGTTAATTATATGATTACTACAATTACGTGAGTTTATATATGCATAATTATGATTAATTTAGTTAAATTATAATTTACTATAATCACATGCATTTATGTATGCATCTATATATGTGTGTGCATAACTATGATTGTCCCACTACACAAACAGAGTTCATAAACGATTATTTGAGGTCAAGTTCTTTCCTACATGTTTTATGAAATCCTCTTCAACTTTACGAGGTAAGTGTAGTTATACGCTGTACGTTAAATCGTTTTTCATACTTTAAAATACGGAATTTGATTTATGAATATGATATAGGTCATATATGTTTAAGTTCAAAGGACCGGAGTTTAGTCGCACTACACAAAGCAATTATAGCAACGAAGTACGATTCTTAATTCCCGTGTCTCCCTATGTATGTCATGATGATGTACGGAGATTATAGTCATCTAAATTCGATTTCTAATCCTCGTGTCTCCTTATGTACCTTAAGAATTCCTAAATTTTAAATAATTACAATTTATGTAGCTCACTTATTGGAATTTTATCTCATTATTTATATTTTCCCCCTTTTAGGTAATTGAGGTTCGAGGAGATAATTTAAGAATTTTTAAAATAAATAAATTTTATGATTAAGAAAGTGTTTTATTTTTAATTATTGTAACTTTGGGGATAATTATCTTTTATGACGGTTCTATTTTTACGATATATATTTAACGACTCAAAGGGTAAGCCTGGGTCATCACAGGATAAATATTACAACCTATGACTGCAGAATGCTAAATTTGTAGATGGTCCGGATCTATAATAACAATATGCAACTTCTTGCCCTTACAGGGAAAGCTTGTAAATAGAACTCGTCAAAGTAAGCTCTCAAGAAGCCAAGTTTATAAGGGTAGAAAGAGATAACCTACAATCGTAACAAATTTCTCGAAAGGTCTTCAAATATAGACAGCTACAATGATTTAGTAAAAGTGACAAGGTATCTATCACCATATTGTGTGGCCCCAAGTTAAAACTTAAAAGTACTTGAGCTTCACCATATGAAGTTAATAATCATTCAATTCAATAGGTTTCAAGTTCCTTTTGTAATCACCTGATAGAATAGCTTGTTTGATTTCATTCTATAATATTTCCATTCAGTCCTTGCAAAATTTAAACATTACTAAATTAAAAATCCATGTTTCCCAGATGTACTATTTGATATTATTTCACTAGGTATTTTGACAAAATGTATTGTTTATCAATTAACAGGGGAGACAAAAGATCGCAAAAGGTATATTCTCAGTCTTCTTGTCTAACAATAAAATTTAAGAATACCTTGTATTTTAGCTTCGACGTCCTTCTCAGCTGATTGTTCAGAATTAAATTTCATCAAGAAGGGCAAAAGCAATTGGAGTATAAACTTTGAGTACTGAACCTTTTCTTCTTCAGTAAATTTTAATTCTAAATTCTTCAAGTGCTGCATGCAAAATAAAAATGAAAGAAACCGGTAACTACATACTAAATCTTGCCAAAAGAAAAACAACAAAACAAGTAGAGAAGTGCAAAAGACCAACCCTGATTGGCCCATCCAACCGCATGCATCTCTTACAATTGCAGTTATTAAGACAGACGGGGCAAGCCTCCTCAATAGCCTCCTCTGACATCTGAGGATACCTGTATTACTTATCAATTAGAGATGGAATCTAACAATCAAGAAATACATTAAGAAATGTATACCTGTAGCCAATACAATCAAGGTATTTGCTAGCATCTAACCATGTTCAGGAAAATTCTCTGATAGTAGGGCACAGGCACATAATGGACAGAGGTAGATTATGTAATAAGGATGGAAAAATAGTAGGGGCAAAATTTATAGGCTGATGCTAATCACATTGCTACTCTTTCTATCTAATAAGACACTCGAAATAGTATTTCAAAAGAACCATTCGTCTCACCATATTACTGTGACATTCTCTTTCGAAGCATTAGTAGCAAATTGAGCAGTTGAAGCCTATAATATTTACAGGTGAGCCGAACAAACACAATCAATTTTAGAAACTCGTAATGATAAGACAGGCTACCCTTCAGTAAAGCATCCATTACAAAGCACACGGTGAACGCTAACAAAATCAAAAGAAAGACATTGCTATCTAAAGATATTCCGTACCAGGTAGTCAAGCAAGGTATGCAGTATCGCTTTGATGTGCACTTTTGGCACCTAACAACCCTTCCTTTGTCATTTCTCTGGCACTGATGACACATGTTAGACAAGATCTCAATCCCCTGTCAAATAATAAATAGAAAAAGGTCAAAATAAAAAAGAATGTAGCCACATAATAGACAAACTCTCTTCAGCAAATTATAAACCCTTGACTCAAGAGCCAAGAATACCAAAAGAAAAAATTACATTCTCATCATAATTCTTTCTGCCCCTGGTCTTTGATGAATTATTGGGCTTATCATTCTTGGCTCTGAGTGAAAACCTTCTTTCTCTACTCGTTTCTGTCTCGTCCCCTGTATTCTCCCCTTCTTCTCCATCCTCTTTCTTCTCCCCGTCTTCTCCATCCTCTTTCTTCTCCCTATCTTCTCCATCATCGTCATAATTCAACCTCTTTCGTCCTCGCTTTTTCTTTTGACTTCCCTCTTTCCCATTTTTCTCTTCCACCACTTTCCCACTTTCCTCAATTTTTGCACTCTTCCTCTTCCTTTTTGGACCTGGTTTACGTTTCCTTGCCTCTTTCTCTTCCTCGTCCTCTTCCAACTCCCAACTATCTTCATTCAGCAGCTCAAGCTTCACAGTTGCCAACTGAGAAGACTTCCTCCGCGATGCCCTTCGGTTAAAAGCACTCTCTGTTCCGTTTTCCTCTGCACCACTTGCCCCATTTTTCTTTTCCTCTTCCTCTCCATCCAAATTTCCCTTTCCCTGCTCTTTCTTTTTCCTTCCTCTGCGACGTGGCTTCTTATTTCCACTTTCAACCTCTTCTTCTTTGTCAATATCCATACAGTCATTTTCTTCAACCTTTCCCTCTTCTTTCCCATTTACATCTTGATTTTCCTCGTCCCCATTTTCCAGCTCTTGCCTTTCACTCCTCATAGCGTCCTCCTCTGAAAACTTTTCACCTTCCTCCACAATCTTTCCATCTTCTTTCACATTCACTTCTTGATTTCTCTCTTCCCCGTTTTCCAACTCTTGCTTTTCACTCCTCATAATGTCCTCTGAAAACTTTCCCCCTTCCTCCACATCAAAAATTTCATTTTCCTCCGCTGGAATATTCAAATCCATATTATTCCTCTACAAACAAACCAGTTTTTTTTTTCCCACCTTTCCCAACCCTATTTAAAGAGCTCTATTATTTTCTGCAACAAATGCTTTCAGTTTCACACTAGAGAAATCATTATTCACTCTCTTTATTAATAACGTTCTACCTAAAAAGAAAACCCTACTACAGTATTATTATCGCCTTCAGTCGAAAGAGAGGGGTAAAAATTCTGGATGCGCGGGTATCGCAGCCCATTGGAATTCCAATTAACGACGTCGTATGGCTCATGAATCTAGTATCTGCGAGCCGACATGACTGTACTACCCTTCATCTTTCCTTCAAAAACAGTGGGCCAATCATCAATAAAGATTCCACTTGTACGAAGATGAAGGGAGTACACGGTAAAAATTTACAAAGTGGATTTCGAGTTTCCATGTGGTTTTTGGACAAAGCGCCGGATGGATAAAAAGGAAACAAACATAAAAATCTTACCTAAATTTAGTCTAAACCCTGTTTAATACACATTTTTTTTAAATACATTCTTTCAAAAATTATTTTCAACCACACATTTTTCAATAAAATAATTTTTTTTATTATATCAATAATTTTTTCTTACTTTTTAATCACATATTTCTTACATATTACTATTTAAAATAAATTTTTCTCAAAAATATCTATCAAACACGCCCTACACCACAAAATCATCAATTTTTATCGAAATTTACCGACAATTTTTTTTATCTAATCAAACATGGGCTAAATGTTCATAGGGGTCGTTTAGCATATCTTTTCGGGAAGTCAAAAGCTAATATTGGATCAGCTTGGCTAATGTTGTGAAAATACTTTTATTTATAAGAGTTTTTTAGAAAAACAGGGTTCAATTCCCGTTTGGCCCCAACTATTTGCCATTTAATGTTTGGACTTTGGATAGTATTTTTTTTTGAAGAATATGTGGCTAAAAAGAAGAAATTTTGTTGAATTTACATGTAATATTATTTTATTGGAGAATGTGTGATTAATAAGAAGGGAAAAAAAGAATTATAATTTTTATTAGCCAAATAGGGGCTAAATGCAGAATTAAGACCAAATGAAACATGGAAATTAGAGCAAATGGTCTTGAACTTCTGCTTATATTTTTGGCCCAAATCTAAACATTTTCATTCTTGTCATGATCATGATTGGTAGGGATGGCAAAAAAATCCGACACACCCGATACTCACAAGCCCCGCCTCAAACGGGGCAGGATAAGCTGCTTAATGGCAACGGGAGGGAGGGTCGGAGCGGGGAATTTTGCCCCATGGCGAGTTCGGGGCGGGGACGGGTAACAGAGGCCCCTCTTCACCCCGTTAAAAAAAAGAAAAAAAAATTAGAATTCAATCTTTAAATATGAAAATTTTCATTAGTTCTAATAGAAAATAGCAACTAAAATTATTTGTCTAAATCTAATGAATATGGGTAATAAAAATAAATTATCAAAACTTAAAAAAAAATAAAAAAATTAGCGGGGAAAGGCCCCGCCCAGCCTTGCCTTGCCTTAAACGGGTAACAGAGCGGAGAATTTTTTTAGTGGGGCAGGGAGGCCTCCCGTCCAGTCCTGTTGCCATCCCTAATGATTGGTCATTTTGCATGGGTTCTGAAAAAAAAAAAAAAGCCACATGGACTACAATTTCTTTTAAGTATAAGTCTCTGTTTGACCCCAATTATATTACATTCCATTACATTAATTTTTTCTCTCTCTTCATTTCAATCATACATTCATCAAATAAAATAATAATACACACAAATCAAAAACTTTTCAACCACACATCTCCCATCAATCACTATTCTAAAAATTATTTACCCCCCAAAAATTTAATTTAATGGGGGGCAAACAGGGGCTAAATTAGTTTTTCATTAAATTTGACATTGTATGATGTGTAGAAAATTTTGGGGGGCAAACAGGGGCTAAATTATGTGGAGTTCCAACTTTGACAAAAGTAACAAACCCGTCCATAACATTTTTTTTTCTTATTCTTGTCTCCAACATTTAAGATATTAAGTTCATCTTTCGGCTCCGTTTTATAAACCTCATTTTTTTTTGCTCAAACTCATTTTCAATTGCACATTTCATGAACTAACAACTTTTATTTACTTTTTAACCACACATTTCATAAATTTTTCTTAAAATTTACTAATTTTTGGAAAAATCAAACGAGGGCTAAATTAAGTTCATTTTACTAATATATTTTTTAAAAAATATATTTTATTCTTAGCTTTAAATAAAATATAAAAATACAAAATTCATCTCCTACAAGGCTACAACAATCCTACTGGAAGCCACCACCACCATCATACGTAGTCGCTACTACAATCATAGTTCTCATTCCGAAAGATACCCATTCCCATTTTATATTTAATCACCGTCACCACAACCACCACTTAATTTTGTGAAATTAGAGGTGGAGATTTCTTTCTCTAAATTCTCCTTGTCATTGTTTCCTACCTTAATTTCACAATAACAAGGGGGAGAAATCCCTCCAAATTTTACAATTCAAAAAGGGGGTTTTCTCCCTAAATACGTAATAACGGAGGAGATCTCCCCTCGTAAAATAATAGAGTTAATAAAAAGACGATAACGGAATAAAAAGGTAAGCAAGATTAATGATTCCTCTTAGGGAAAGAAAGTATAGAGCTCTTAAAAAGTTGGAAATATGGTTGGGGGAAGAAAAGCTTATTTTGGCTAGAGGGGTTTAGAAATTTGAAGGTGGAAAAAAAAAAGATGGATTTAGATATTCTAGGATGAGGAAAATGAAGATATGATTGAAGGGTGGGGGAATGTATAAAATTTACTTTATATATTAAAACCCTATTTGGTCCATTAAAATGTATTTACAATAGTAAAATTTTTCAGAATAAATGGTTAAAAAGTTGAAAAAAAATGGAGAAATCACAAAAATTATGGGCTTATTGGATTGCAATAGTGAAATTTGGGTGGAAAGAAAGTGAATTATAAATAATTGAATTGCCTAGAATTGTTTTCCTAAAAATTGTCAATTAATTGTATTTGATTTGGTATAATTTTTCACCTGAAAAATATTGAAATTTTGAATCTTTTGGCGTTCGTTTGACTTTATTTTCTATGAAAATTATTCATTAAATGGAAAAAAATTACAATTGTTCATAGAATTTGTTTTCATCGCCAAATTTTTTTTTTTTAAAAAAAAGCTGGAAACTATTTTCTCACCAAAGTGGTGAGAAAACCAATTCAACAAAAACATGGAAAAATTGGACACATGGGGGTGGGAGGAAAATTTTGACTATCAAACATGGCAAAAGTGGAAAATGAATTTTTAATTCTATTTTCCATGGAAAAGAATGACATATCAAACAAGCCCTAAGAGTTTTCATGATTTCAATTCATATATAAAAGTTGTAAGTTTTTTCTTTCAAAAATATGATATAATTAAAATTATAATATAAATAATAATATTATAAAAATTATTTTACATATCCACCTTATTATCATCTACCATACCAAGCCCTAATTATTTTCCAATATTTTCTTTCTATCTCTATACAGCCAGAGCCCCCCCACCCCCCCCACCCTCACCCTCTCTCTCTACATAGCGGTTGAGCAAAGGCGACGGGTGTGGTCGGAGAGATGACGACTAGTGTCGCGCACAGAGCAATGCGAGCGAGGAGCGACTATGAGTGGTGTTACTTCCTATGTGAAACCATGTGAGAGTTGTCACACCACCGTAGGTGAGATCATCACTGGTTCAGCCCGCTGACTTTTTGCCTCTTGCTCCTGTACCGATTTAGCCTCGCCGCACGTTGTGGTCGAGATCTATAGCATCATTTTCAGTCGGTGGTGGGGGGGCTATGGTGGTGGTGTTTGGGTGGCAGTGGCTTTGTTGGATCCAGCAGTGTGCAGTGGTTATGTTGGATCGAGTGGTGGCTATGGTTTTTGTAACGCCCCAAAATTTCATACATCTTGAGGTGTTACCAAAAATTATTTCATTTACTTTTGTTTACTTAAAATGTGGAACTATAAAATTTGTTAATAAACAAAATATTGGAACATCCATAAGTTTTAATTTGAATCATAAAATCGTGTCTTTAAAAAAATAATTAAACATTTTCAACTAATAAATTCAATATTAATTTGAATCATAAAATCGTGTCTTTAAAAAATATAATTTAAACATTCTCAACTAATAAATGCAATATTAATGTTATTGAACAAAACAAACTATTAAATTTAAAGGTAGTAAAACTTAATATTTTCGTATGTTGAAATCTCTGGCAGTCCACCGCACCATCACGCCACAGTTTCAATCAACCGATCCAACCTGTAAAATTTTTGTAGGAATTAGTATTTTAAAAACATCCAATAAGATATGTGCAGTTTCCATACGCAATTATTTAACAATAATATAAACAATTCATACCACATCTTTCTTTATGGAGTATATCGGTAATCAGGTGAGATACCCATCATTTCTCATTTTAAATTCTCTAAGGATTTCACGTTTCATTTTAAAGAACCCAAAAGAGTTCACATTTCGTTAGGTCAAACCCGAGGGTGACAATTCATGCATAAACTATTGAACATAAAAGTTTTAAGGAAACAAACAACTTGTACAAAAAATATCTTATCTTGATGGATCGAACGAGCTTTTGATAATAAAAATATGCTTAGAATTTATAGATGTTTTATATGAAAACTGTTGTGGAAAATTTCATGGTAGTGAATCCTGAGACATTGACACACTATTTATAGTAAATAAAAAATAAAAAATTAGTAGTTGAGTCATAGTATAATTGTTATGAAAAATCTTGTCTATCCTATTTGATAAAAACTGAATTTCTAGTAAACAAATCACAATGTGACATGTATACAAATTACTTATCACAACAAAAAGGTGGTTCTAATCATAACACGTGATAGTGATGGCAACTTGATTTTAAATAGAATTCTAAAAAATAATAATAATAATAAATATCCCACTTCTAGTGGCTATCCTCATCCAAATTTAATTTGATTTAAAAATAAATAAATAAATAAATTATAATTTCTTTGAATTTTAATATCTTGAGACTAACTTATCCGAATTAACTTTTTCTCAATCCTAACTTACATTATTAATTACGAGCTATCAAACGAAACTCATATTGATATACTTTTAGTTGTTTTAACAATATCTAAAAATTTAACCCAAAATTTGAAGTTAATACATATATTACTTCAGTCCTTCAACTTCAAAATAATAAAAATATAATATATAGCACAAATAATTTTTTATTCTAAAATTTTCGGGTATGAGACTCATATTGGTATACTTTTCGTCGCTTTAACAATATTTTAAAATTTTAGCCCAAAATTCAAGTTAATACATATATCACTTCAGCCCCTCAACTTCAAAATAATAAAAATATAATATATAGAACAAATAAATTTTTATTCTAAATTTTTCGGGGGTTTTGTTGAAGGCGGCGATGGTGATTTTGAAGTTAAAAATTGTAGTTTGTTAGAGGTGGCAGCAGTGGTGTCGGAAGGTGGCAGTATTGGTTTGTTCCGGGAGGTGGTGGTGGTTTTGGCAACAGTGCTACAACGGCGATGGTAAAGTGGTGGTTACAAATATGTGGTTGATTGTGATCAATAAATTGGTTAATATGTGACAAATAAACAATATGTAACTAATAAAATGTATAAATCGTGATCGAGAAATAATGTGTGACCTAAAATTTTGTTAATTTGTGATTGTATAATAAGTCGCGACTTATAAAATTTGTTATTTGTAATCGATAAATAAATTGTGACGTATAAATTGTTTTATTTTTTACCTATAAAATTTTTGATTTGTGAACGATAAATAATTTGTAACCAATTTTATAGAATTGTGATCTTAATATATTGAATTAATAAAAAATATTTTTAATTAGTTGTTTCATAAATAAAACTTTATTAATATCTGATTTTTGAAGTTTTAAATTTTGTTTCTTAGTTCTGAAATAGGTGATACTTAATCTCTTATATATGAATTTTTCCCAAAGAAAAATGCATTTTTTTAAGAATGGAGCCCAAATATGGACTTAGCGCCTATTTGGCCCCAATTACTCTACTTTATAATTAGAAGAATAATAATTTATTGTAGAATGTGTGTTTAAAAAAGAATGAATTTTTTTTTTAATTATAGAATGTGTGGTCAATAAGACAAGAGAGAATATCACTTTGTACCGATAACAAATGGAAAAGAAGAGGGAAGAAAAATGGAACAAGCGATGTTAAGAAAAATCGAAGTGTAACCATCTATAGTATAACGATTATTAAAGTATATTAAGAAAAAATTTAAGTTTAGGAAACCTTTAGCAGATTTTATTGTTGTTCGTCTTTTTACTTATTATGTTTAGCATGATACAAGATTTTAATGTAATAATTATCTATATAAGAGAAATTCTAGATTGTATTAGGACATTAATCAAATAACCAAATATATATATATATATATACAGAAATGATCTAATGAGCACCGGTGCTCATCTTATCCTAAGCACCGATGAGTATATATATATAGTTGGGAGTTGATAGAGGAAGAGGACACGAAAGGTTAAAAACGATTAAAGAAAGATGAAGAGTGCAAATCGAGGAAAGTTGGAATATAAATGTGGTGGAAGAGAAAAAGGGGAAATATCAAAGTTAGATGGAAAGGCGAGGAAGAAATCGGTTGAATTATGAGGATGGAGAAGAGAGTAGATTAGTTGCACACAAAGTCAAGAAGTAGTAACATTTAAGCCTATGTTAGACGACTTTTTTTTTTTGGAAAACAACGTCGTTTGCGATGAAGTGGGGCTCTTGAATGATGAAATGCAGTCTTATTGCTCTCTTTAAGTTGTTCAATTAACTCTGCAAAATTCATTGTTTCCAAAACTACCCTCAAAATTGTTTTGAATTGTCAACATAAAATTGTCTTCGCGCCACTGAAGATTGTAACGACCCAATTTTTTTAAATTCAAATCGTTACCAAAAGTTTACTTTATGCTTTAAACAATGTAGCATGCAATAATATATAAAATTATGTAGCGGTAATTTACTCAAATTCATGTAGAAAAAATTTATATATCCATTTATAAAAAGGAAAGAACGAAAATTTCTACACCATATCTTTATCGCGTACATTTGGAAAGATCAAATAAAATCAATCTGCAATTTAAGAATTAGGGACATATCTCATTTTATTATACATGATATACAATATATATCCTAACATATTGATTTAACCAATTTAACATAGCACCAATGCAGTTCTTAAGCAAAACGTGTCCTAAAATCAAATAAAAGGAAAGAGATCAATAAATTAATTAAACTAAGGTTAATACTAAAATTTAATATTTTCAATCACTTTACACCGAATTTGATTTATTAAATCCAATGAATTTGGCACGACGACAACATCTCATCGTCCACCAACCAATGACCCATTTTAACCCGTAAGAGGCGGGGAAAATGGTGAGTATATGATAATATTTAGTAGGACACGAGTAATTGTGCAATCCCGAATAAAATTATTAAATCGTGAGTAAAAAATATCATACCGTGATATGATATTTTCATAATATATCATATATTGGTACCAAATGACCATATCATATCTTTCAACATAACATTTATCAACATGAAAAAATAAAATTAAACTGGACGAACCACTTGCGAAATAAAAACAAAAGATCCCACGCTCCAAACTTTTCAATTTTTTCACACAAGACGTGAAATTGCTATCAATCATTTACCTCCCCTGGCCATGAAATGTCACTTTCCGTGATGTAATTTTATCTGCCTTCATGGGGTATATATATTATCACTCATAAATCCTTAAAATAACTTAATTAATCACAATTTTAGGTAATATCTTTCGACTTCAATAAATTGTGCTTAACTTATTCGAATTAATTTTTTCTCAAACTTAAAATAGATTATTAAATAT